TATGTATTGTACAGGTCCTTTGACTACATAGTACATAAGTGTCTAAAGACAGAGACCAAGTGATAGCAAAAATGTAATTACTTGCTTTCATTTGTTTCCTTCACGTGCTCAGTAATACGTGGAATCAAGAACGGATTTCAATCTTAAAGTTGACCATATTCATATAACATGACCATATGGTCATGTTATATGACCATTGGTAGACTCGGTCACTACCAGAACTGGTAGAATGCTTTTAACTCGGCGAGTACCGGTTTTGTAGACACAATTATAGAACATTAGGTTGCGGTCACCGGTGACCGCTTGGTGTTTGACAGTTTAAACTGCTCATAAGTAATTCTACCACAACTAGTACAATGCTTTAAAACTGCTCATAAGTGAATGCCTAGTGCCTTGGGCGAATATTCATTTTTATGAATATGGTCAGGTCATGGTAACTATATGAATATGGTCAACTTTAAGGTTGAAATCCGTTCTTGATTATTGTCGAACACTTAAACTTTAGAATTTCAGCCGCAGTTAGACAATCCTAAGAGTTATAAGTGATGTATAGACGAACCAATGAACTTGTCACGTGTTTTCTTTTTATACATCTCTATCAGTCACGACTGCCAGTAGCCGACCCTACTAACGTGCATATAGGACAATTTAAATAAGCGGGAAAAACAAGGAGCGTGGTCCTCGCGCACCTCGCTCCTCTCACCGGCCTGCAATTGACAATTACACCGCCATGTTTCACGCATAGAACTCCTACCATAGACACGCACGCGATAACTCTTACGCAAACTACGTACTTGCCAATTAGTCAAATTCAATACTTTTTTCAAACTGTCAAAAACGACAGTTTTCTATGACTTTTTTACGCGATTGTGAATTAGGGCGTCACGTTTTTTAGCGTCAAATAGCATACTTATTTCTTTAAAAATAGCTGGAAAAATACTAAAATTCAGTTAATCATAAAATAAAATTATTGAACGTGAGATTATTTTTTAATATTTTGTTGTATTGAACAGTTGAAATAATTTATTATTTATTAAGATAAGTACTTACATTAATTTTGTCACACTTGGTCGCAAATTTTTCGTAAAAAGAATCTCGTAGTACTCCTTGTATCATGTAAATAAGTTTCAGAAAGCTACACACGTTATCATTATCGAGTAATATAAGCTGAATTTAATTGGAATCACGTACGTAATCTGTAGAAAGTAGTATTTATTTTTATATGTAGTAAGGTACGTGCAGGTTTTCTGCTTTGGATAACTAAAATGCCTGCACAAACTGTTTTTATCCAATTTCTTTTATGGTATAAGCCGGTAAACGAGCAGACGGATCACCTGATGGTAAGCAATTGGCGTCGCCCATGGACACTAGAACACCAGATGCGTTACAAGTGCGTTACCGGCCTTTTAGGGATTAAGAGTTTGAGGATAGTTGGGGATTCAGGGATTGGGGAGATTGGGAAAGTGGGGGATAATTGGGCCTCCGGGCCTCGCTCACACGACGAAACACAACGCAAGCGTTGCTTCACCTCAGTTTTCAGTGAGGCCGTGGTATCACTCCGGTAGAGCCGGCCCATTCGTGTCGAAGCATGGCTCTTCCACACTTAAAAAAGAATATACCTTTATTCTGATTACAAAACATGTAATTAGACAATAAAACCAAACACAAATGAATCTTCACCACTTCAGGATGAAAGATGTTAAAAAACAACAGACGTTTGAACGAGTAGCTCTGAGTGAGCAATAGCGCTATAAATCAGGTGACGAGCAATTACGGTCGATAGCGACAACTGCGTGACCTCTGATCTGTGCAGGACGCTGTGCTACACTCATATTCAGTTAGCACTGGATTTCATATCATTTTATCGATCTGACTGCCTCATTGGCTGAGTAGTCGCAAGTGCGACTGCCGGGGCAAGTGGTCTCGGGTTCGATTCCCGAGTCGGGCAAAGTATTACCGGGTTTTTCAAAAAAAATTCACAGTAGTAGCACGGAGTCTGGAATTATGCCCGGTATATGGCAAAAGACTCACCCCCTATTACATAGGACTCATAACATAAATAGTAAAAAGTGGGTGTTACATTTGTACCATAGCATAATGTGCACCTCTGCCTACCCCTTCGGGGATAAAAGGCGTGATGTTATGATGTTATGGTCCTTTATAGGAAAGAACAATTCCGTGAAGGAATCCTACAATGAGTTGCCCAACTAAAACTTCCAGCATACCATCAAAAACATAATACATTTATTGCTACATTTGTTAAGCTGATTTTCCCGAAAACTAGTTCTGAATGATGATCATTATTGATACTTGTGACAAAGATGGGATTTTAAGGGAACAGAGAGTATAGTTCCCTAAGATCGGAAAAGGATGATCCTGCGACCAGACGAGGTGATCGTGCCTGGCGGGCTTTCCGCCCAACAGTTGTTCGTTAGGATTTTCTGTCCGTGTTAATTCGCAAGTAAACTTTATATTTGCGATGTAGGATTTTGTGACGTCATCCGTTGATAATTTTTTTTTTTTAAAGGGGGTAACATCGTGAATGACTGCTCCCGCCTGGGTGAGGCGGGAGGGAGTGTCAGACTCTTACTGACTAAAAACCACCCCGTTCCTTCTCCTGCACGTCGAGCCGGAGCCCCGGTTACCCGTTAGGTTCTCCGCGACGTTGATGACATCTATGTGCGTGAGCTGTCATTTGGCATGTGTCGCCACAGGTTATAGTTTTATATTATGGTCTGTTATAGCACACTTTTCTTATTTATGTTTTTAATAGCAAATTAATTATTTATCTCCTCATACTACAATTAAAAATAAAATCCATGCATCAGTTTTTCAGTTTATCCCGGACATATATAGACGAACAGACAAAAATTCTAAAAATATAGTTTTTGGTGTCGGTATCGACGGTAGGTCACACCCCAAGCATTCTTTTAAAAAAATATTCGATGTACAGTTTTCACTTTCCTACGACTTTGTTATAGATAGTTTCGACGCCTTATTTACCTATCTTACGGACTAATTATATTTTTAATTTTCATACCCTCTCATCATCCCAATTGTACTCAGTGTGTGACTGATTTTAAAACTTTCACGATTTCCGATTTTTGACACGAGGTTCATTAAAATATGTGCATACTCTAGTTACCCAATTTCACATGATATTTCATGCACTTTGACCTTTTCCCGTATCGAGATAGGATACGCCGCCGTAATTAACACAGTTACCTCGAAAACACGTTACATTTAAATCATACATATCATTTGCCGAGTTAATTTGGCCCGGGTCAGGCGGATGGCGAAATTACTAGTGATGTGACACCTATTAAGAGAATTAAGCCAATGATCCTGCGTCATATGTTACGATACTGGACTGTTAAAATAGTAGAATGCTCTAGAACTGTTACTTAAAATGAGTCGGGGAAATCGTCCTGAATTAAGAAAAGATTCATCATTCTAATGTCGGAATACTGAAACGCTACTCAATTTTAAGTCGTGCTAAAGTATAGTTCTATCTCTACAAATTCTTTTTAAAATGACAGAGGTGGCACTATATTTGAGCACGACTTAAAATTAAGTAACGTTTCAGTATTCCATAAAGGATATAAATGGTTGAGTTTGATAAGCCGAGTATTTTTTTTTTCAATTGAGGAAAATCATAGAATGACTTCTCCCGCCTGGGTGAGGCGGGAGGGAGCGTGTCAGACTCTTACTGACTAAAAACCACCCCGTTCCTTCTTCTGCACGTCGAGCCGGAGCCCCGGTAACACGTTAGGTTCTCCGCGACTATAAGCTGAGTATGAGCTGTGGTTGTTACAATCTTATCTTATCTTATCTTTAATTCCATTTTCATGACATATCTGTCGTTTCATATAGCAATCATTGTAGAACAAAAAATATATAAGATGAAATCTGACAGAATAACAATACAAAGAAAACAATTAACAAAATGTCGTGTCCGGGTTTTATTACAAAAAAAGATCGCTACAATATTGCTTCGGATAATCCATCGCCGTTTTGTATCAAAAAGTATTCCCTCAAAAGGAGGCTAAGCAGGATTTACGTTTGCATTTCTGCTTTTATACCGAATAGCTTTCATATTATATACCTTTTTCCCTGAATACGAGGAAAATATTAACGGATAGCCTTGCAACCCACGAGTATCGATTCTCTATGGCAACTTTAGATGGCTGCCAGTATTCTTAGAATAATTCCAACGAAGAAAAACATGTCTCAAGATGTTCTCAAGTTCCACGTGTAAGTGATTATTATAATTATTTTTGAATATGCTACTCAGACTATTGATTTGATTGGCTGAATTTATACACGAGAAAGGTGAAAAAAAAAACCGTCCTTGAATAAAATGTTTCGAATTTTCAAATTATATTACAAAACTACTTAAATACTTAAATAGCTTCACATACATGTTACCAGCACTTCTATAATTATGGTAATTCAAAAACTTTCTAGAATATTCCTAATTCCACTAACCTGATCAAATCCAGCAATGTATCGGATGTGAGGGTATCTTTCACCACGATCTTGGTGGAGTTCGGCTGGGTGTAGTCTTCGGAGTCCTTGCCCGGCTTGATGGTGGTGACCAAGGCTATACCCAGCATCACGGCGCATATCGTCGTGGTCATGTAGTATATGATAGCACGGAGACCAACCCTGGAAGAAAGTAGGAGTTAATTGATTGAAGAAACCTTCGGTACGATGGTGGTTTATGCCAGTTTAATCTACTGTACCATATTCAAACCCAAAAAACTTTAGTGTAATATCCAATCCTACTTATGACTTAACAAGAATCACCAATAAATTAATCGCTTGCAAATAAAAATCGACTCACTTGCCAGATAAGCTTAAATCCAGAGAACCAATAGCTGATACAATGCTGGAGACCAGCAGAGGAACTATGAGGGACTTGAGCATCCTCAAGAACAGCTCTCCAGGGTACTGGAAGTACATGACGTCACGCCGGGACCACTCCTGCCCTGAAGCTCGGAGACAGCATCCCAGGATAGTTCCTGCCACCACGCCGATGACTGTCAGCAGTGTCAGGAGGTTCTCCCTCACGAATGAGGAGCAGCGGTTTCTTCGGATTTGGAGCGGCATTGTGGTTGATGTTTCTGTGGACAAAAGGTAAGTTTTAAAAGAGTATCGATTGGTATAATTTTAGGAAGGGATATTACATTTATAGCATTGGACTTTAATGGACTTGCTAGTTGTATTTATATACTTTTTGGATGAATAGATGAATCCTGTTTAGACTAAAAACATTTTTTTCTGCAAATTACCTAAAGAAGAATTACTAAAACATTTTTCTCACAACAGTGGCTAATTCTATAATTTTGATCTACCGCTCTGAAGTATAAGAATGCATTATATTTTCTAGAACTCAGAGATAGAACTTAATCATATATTTGACATCAAATCATTAATTAGTGTTCAATCTAAGCCTTGATTGGTCTATCTGGTTCCTGGGAATGTCCTGGAGGAGATTGGTCATAAACCATAATAATCGTGCGCTGATAAAATGACGAGACAATGTGTATCACTGCCGATGAAATCGGGTCGAGTAGGAACAATACGTGCCCAGATTTTGTAGGATATTTTTTTTGTAGTATAGGTTATTTTTTTCTTTATTTGCTTGTTTGTAATATAAATGTATAATGGAGAAAATATTTTCCATTTTAATAATGTAATGAAAAACTTTCTTATTATTTAACTGACTCTGAATTTTTTTTTATGGGATAACCCGGTAAACTGGCAGACGGATCACCTGATGGTAAGCAATCGGCGTCGTCTATGGACACCCGGAACACCAGGGGTGTTACAAGTGCGTTACCGGCCTTTTGGGAATTAGGAATTTGAGGATTGTGGGGGATTTGGGGATTGGGGAGACTGAGGAAGGGTGTAATCACACTTCTTAGAACTTACCTATAGGTTATGATATGTATAACCTTTCACAGATCATGTCTCATTCTCTTAGTTGCTGTAACTCTACATATTATGAAACTGCGCATGCTACATAAATCATTAAAAATATTATCGCCGAATAATTAGGAAAAAATTAAGATACATACAACTGCATTATTTACAGGCGAATGCTTAAACCAATTTCGCAAATCAAAATAGGTTTTTAATATAGGTCAATGTATAAGAACTAGGACATTTCCTCGCGACATAGTAAAGATGGGTACCGTAGTGTGACCGCCCCGCGTTCCTCGGTTAATATTAGTAGTAGCTCTTGGCAGAGCGAGGTGGACTATTGTTGTCTCAGATCAGACCACGTGGACGAGTAACATCAAATATGTTGACGGACATCACTATAACTAGACTTATCAGATCTTCACATCATCGTCAATTCATTATTAGACCGTTTCAATCCACTGTCGAATAGAGCCCTCTTATCTTGAATTTTCTGTAAGTGGCTTCGCCCGCGTTATTGGGATTCATACTCTCAATAGTAGGAAAATAATGATAATGATGATGACTGCCTTGTTGGCCGAGTGGTCGCAAGTGCGACTGCCAGGCAAGGGGTCTCGGGTTCGATTCCCGAGTCGGGCAAAGTATCACTGGGTTTTTTAAAAATCTCAGTAGTAGCACGGAGTCTGGAAATGTGCCCGGTATATGGCAATAGGCTCACCCCTTATTACATGGGACTTATAAATAGTGAAAAGTGGGTGTTACATTGTACAGTGGCAATAAGTGCCGAAATGTGCACCTCTGCCTACCCCTTTGGGGATAAAAAGGCGTGATGTTATATGTTATGTTGATGGTGATAGTAATAATACTTTCTTGTCATATATTTATAAGAATGCTTACCAAGCAAAAGGTCCCGAGTTCGTGTCTGAAACGGGCAAAATAGCATTGGGATTTTTTAAGCGTTGTGCTATTCAACTCAAAGAGACCACCTTTACCAAACTCTTTAATAAAAAAAGAACATGAAATTTCATATAACAAAACTTTCGTCCAATCACAGCCCGGGAATTTTCGCGTTGCGATGCGCAAGCGCACGTGGGACTGCCGTCGACGGGACCCCCCGCGGATGTCGTCGCGGAAATCTTTATTTAGTTGGATCGCTATCAATCCGCGTCCCCCTATGCTCACACGCACCGCATAACTGCCTGCCCTCGTACCTACATACTACCTGATACACTGAGCTTATATATAGTGAAATAGGATTGTAGATAACACTATTGTAATGTAAGCTTAATTAGGACAAAAGAATAAAAGTTTTTAGACCTCTTTCGCCAGCAATTTTATAAATAGTTATCTTAATAAACAATCAAGTCAAATAAACTAAATATTTCGAAATAAAAAATCCATAACCATAAGCTTGACAAACAAACTGTACTTACATATCTTATCTTATACTATTATATAAAGCGGAAGAGTTTGTTTTTTTGTTTGTTTGTTTGAACGCGCTAATCTCAGTAACTACAAGTCTGATTTGAATAATTATTTTTGTGTTGGGTAGCGCATTTATCAAGGATGGCTATAAGCTATAAAACATCCCGTTACAATCAATAGGAGCTGAGCAGAGCGTGTGAAATCGCGCGGCAGTAGCTAATAATAAATATACGAACAGATAAAATGGATATAAGTACTGCCACACACCTTTACACATATTTTCTCCAACACACATACAGAATTTCAAGGAACGTATAATTTCAGGGAAAAACAACAACGCATCATGTTTACAATATTTATGTACAACACACATCATCTTTTAGGTACTTGGAATTTATTATAAGAAGGTGCCAAAAGCCGAACTGAACTTGTCACACAAAATAAATGTATTAAACCAGCACGCCGCTGTGTTCTTACTGTGGAGTAAACATGTCTGAACAGATAATCGCTATTACACAATTCATCGTCACGAATTAGAGATGACAGCTTATAATCACTATTAAGATTATGTATCTATGTATTATATGTATATAGGTATATTCATTAATAAGAGCATAACAT